GTGGCTGGCGCCTTAGCCGCTTGAGCCACAGGCGCCGAGCCTCTTTTCTTTTTCTACTACACTGATCAGTATTGAAAAGATACACACGTGTTATAATAAGTTTAAAGTTATCTTTTGACTCCCCTGGCAAGGAGCACAAGGCCTTTCCTTTCAAGGGTCCGTGTTTCCAGGAAGGCTGGAGGAAGCAGAAGAGGGGTTTTCCCAGTGATCCAGCAGGATGCAGGGAACAAGCTGGAACACTGGGGCCTGGTCTCCATGTTGAGTGAGCAGTAGCCTCAGGCACCTCCAAACCTCCTGGCAACTTCACACAGCAGCCCCAACCCTCCAGAACAGAGATCTGAGGGCGGAGCTGGTGCCCTTTGGGACTCATACTGCAGGGTGGGCATCTTTTTCCCTTGGTTATGGAAACTGTGATACCTGCTGTAAATGCCTCTCTCCGTTCTCATTGGCGGGGCTGCTCTCTGACCCGTTGCTGCTCCCTGATTGCTCCTTTTCATTCAGCAAAGCGGTAGCGTATGCTAATGTGTCCTGCAGGAGATTTCAATAGGAGAAGGAAGAGTTAGGGGCCATTCAGCAGCAGCAGCGACCACCAAGGAAGACCCCCACCTGGTGTGACCTCTGGTGGCACCAGGAGCCTGAAAGTGGGCCTGCATCACAGCCACCAGGGTACCCTTTCAAACTCTATTCCTACTGCGATTGGCCTGACCAGCCTGCACCCATTTATTCTATGCAAAGGTATCTGCACAGATGTGCACAGCATACACGAATCTGTTAATCCATAGAACTCAATTGTTTCCTCTACTTATCCTCATCTGCAATCCATCCCTCTCTTCCCCAGCTGCTGGGAAACACTAAGAATCCTGGCAGGGGTTTCCAACCTACAGAAACGAAAAGGAACCCTCACCTGAGCTGAAATGGTTCGCTGAAAGGTTTTTCCAGTTGATGTTTCATTAGAGACATTACTCTGTGGTGTCCAATAATGCTCTGACATCTGAAATGAAAAGTCAAAACTGCCATCAGAGATCACAAATAAGCCCTTGTGAGCCCAAAGTTTCCACCGTTAGGTATTAGTATCTAAAAAAACATACAAAATAGGACGTAAGTCTACCCAGACCTTCTAGTACATTAGGAGACTCATGGAAAATTTCAATTCCACTTTTAAGACCTTGCTCAAATGCTGCTTCTAATATAATCATCCCCATCTTTCACCTACACAGTTAAGATACACATATTAAAGCACAAATTTACTGCACACTAGCAGGTATCAGCTGTGCCAAAGAAAAGTCTGAAGTCTGAAAATGCCTTCAGGTCTGTCCCCAAAGTAGGTTGAAGAGATCCTTCCTGATAAGATTGGCTGTTATTGATTCCTATGGCATAGCTGGAAAAATTCAAAATTTAATTACCTTCTTCTGTAGCCACTGTACAGCCCAGCTCCAGTGATGGGAATTTTCCTTGAAATATTCTTTAGCAGCAGGGCACCTGGTGATTGAGGACATTTTTATTAGTCAAATGCTGTCTTTGCAAATATACTTTTTAAATCTGTAGTACCTTTTTAGTTTGAAACACATCACTTTAAAATTCAGTTGTCTTTATATCTAATTTTTACTCTTTTTTTTCTTTGGATAAGTAATACATTCACATGCTTAAACTTCACAGCATAATGAGCATATTCTTTTTTTCACTCTTTTTTTTTTTTTTTTTGATCAACATGATTTAAGTGTGCTGTGCAAGTTTAACTATAGGTTCAAGTGTGCTGTGAGATAAAAAAGGTTGAAAACCCCTGACGTAGAGCCTGGAAGAATCAGCAGATATGTTATATCAATGAACATGACCTCCAATGAGGGGTGTGTGAATTCTTGCTTTGAAGGTTTCTAGATCAGGCCTGGTGGTTTAGCTTTTTGGTTTTGGATTCCATAAGATCTGCTCCTCTTTCATACTCTCTATTTCTATTTCCTTTTTGAGCTCATTTCAGTAGGTTTCTGTAACTTCTAAGCAAGCACTCCCTGCCTTTGTCAGATTCTCTAGGTACCAAAACATGGCACATTATTTTTTCTGGTCATATTTGACTTGTAATTAAAACACCATGTCTTGCCTGCATTTTAAGTTGATACTTACTTTTGAGCAAGAGTTACAAGAAATTTGACACACTGGTAGCAGCGACTGCTGTCCACATGATTGCTGTGGTGCATCAAAGCTGAAGGAAGAGAAGAGGACATTTTAATAATAAAGGACTAAACTGAATGTGGGTCCGGGTAATAACAAGCTATCTTATTCTCAAAACTGACAAACAATTTTGATAAACAGATAAGAAGCAACTTAACTAAAAAGCATGGTGGTACCTGACTCAATAGAATCCCCAAATTCTAATGGGTAGAAATACTACATTAAGTATGATCAAAACCCACACATGGTGGTGAAAGTTTAACTTTTGGGAGAACTGGAGAGGAAAGAAAACTTATATTGGCTGACTATTCACCTAGAGACTGTCCTACACTCCACACTACTAAGAGAAGAGCAGTCATAAAGACTTTTAGTTTGATAAATGGAAATGTATACTCATTCAGTTCAACAGATGAATCCCGTTCTTGCCAGGTGCAGTGGCTCAGGCCTGTAATCCCAGCACTCTGGGAGGCTGAGGCAGGCGGATTGCTGGAGCTCAGGAGTTTGAGACCAGTCTTAGCAAGAGTGAGACCCATCTCTACTAAAAACAGAAAAACTGAGACAAGAGGATTGGTTGAGTCCAAGAACTTGAGGTTGCTGTGAGCTATGATGCCAGAGAACTCTTGACAGGGTGCCAGAGTAAGACTCTATCTTAAAAAAAAAAAAAGTAAAATCATGCTTGGTCACTGCTCGAGTTTATAGTTTTTAAGCTTCAGAGACTCTGGGTGCTGCTCTGACTACAGTACACTGTCCAAAGGGTGGCTAAACTTTTAGCTGAAATCTCCTTTTTGTAATAAAAGGAGGCCTTAAACTTGCTGTCAGTGCACAGCAAGATCTAAAATGACTCTGAGGTTCTAGTTTTTTCTTTCCTGATGGTTGTAGAAGAGGAATTGAAGATTTCTTCCACCAGAGAGCAGCCTTCTGCTTGTTGAAAAAAAAACAAAGTCAGAAAACCCCTGGCTTTTATCTGAGCTGGTGAAAAGATCTCAAGCTGCAGGTTATGGACTAAAGATATCAGAGTGTTCAGGGCAATAAGACCCTTGGGTTTCAAGTCTCCCGACTAGACAGCGCACGTATCACTTGCTGATCTAAGCACGAGCAACAGGAGGCAGGACCGGCCGGAACGTGGTAAGCGGCACATTTACTGCAGACACTGGTTCAGGCCGGGCGTACTTGCCTAGTAATCCATTTTCTGTCTCAAACACAAATTTGATTCGCTCTACTTGGATGGGATCTTCAATGACCTGTGACAGGAAGGAGACATGGTGGTGAACGGAAGGAGGAGCTCGTGTTACAGCCACTTCTTTGCATTTTTGTTCAAGAGATTAATTTAGTTTCTAACATAAGAAAACACAATACAAAAAATATTCTGTCATCACCATCTATCTCAAACATACCTTATATTTTAAACTAAGATGAAAACTATTAAGAGCCATTTATTTTATTTTATTTTATTTATTTAAGGATTCATTTATTTCCTATCTGTATGTTCTGACCAATTATATTTACAGTTCTCTATGGGTTGTAAGGACATATATTTAATGACACAAAGAGAAAGAGATTTATGCTCTAACTTGTTTCCTGAACACATGTCGAAGTACAGGCTCCAAAAAGTGGCTGAATGCTTTTGCCATGCCACACAGGGCTGAATCTAGGGCTCGTTTGGCGTATTTCTAGTTCTAAGCATTGAACTGTGCACAGTCTAGTAAACTGTATGGGTTTGTTGTTAATAGACGAACCACACACAGTCCTACCCCCGAGGAGCAATTATCTTCCCAAGTTTGTAAAGGCACCAGGACCAAAAGGAGGCCAAGGGTTAGAAAAACAGAAAACAAATGAAAACCACGATGTACATGTGTTTTCTTCCTCAAACCCATTAGTGAATGGCAAGACCTACATTAAGGATTAGGGACGGAAAGGGAACGCAGTCCCTCCCTCTCTTTAAGGTGAGACTAGCCCAGTGTAGGCTCTCTCCTTAGCTTCTCACCACACACCAGTGAGCACCCACTGGCCCACAGGAGAACGTCCCCCGACACAGCACATGCACCCGCACTTTTCCATGTCTGGCTTGGGCTTCCTTTCCCAAGCTCTCCTCAGTTTCCACTCCTCCTTCCAGTCATACCATCTACTTACAATTCACTGAGCTCCCCAGGGGTCAGGTGGGGAGCACAGGCTCTGGGGGGCCAGTCTCCTGTTCAGATCCTGACTGACCAGACCTTCGACCTGCTGAGGCTGGCCTTGGGCAAAATACTTCACCTCTCTAAAGCTCAGGTTTTGGTGACAATAACTGATTTTTTCCAGTTCTTCAAATGTTTGAAGTTGGAAAGCTCCCTACAATTGATGACAATTCAGTTTCTTGACTCTTTAAAGTATTTTTATTAGTATACATACCATCAATGTTGCCTGAGATATGATAAACCGTTCAGCTAGCAATTGGTCTCTGAGGGTAACCATGAGGTTTAAACATGGTGACATCTGTGCTCAGCGTGGCGCTTCCCCAAGGTAAGGCCACAGGGAGGGCTGCCCTCTGCAGGGAACCGCCTTTGTACCTGTCCAGCGCCCTCACTACACGCTGAGTTCCTGTGCTCACCTCTACACCATGACACACAACTGACAAAGAGGACGCCATAAATGCAGACCAAATGGATGGAAAAAAAACAGAAGGACATACAATTTCTAACTTATACACAGAAGCTGACTAACAACACCCGAATACAAGCAAATCAGAACATTTACAACTTACCAGTATCTCATGAAGGAGTTGGAACGTATTCTTTAACTCATGGGGTGGAGCTGTTTCTAGTTGGTTCTGAAATTTTTTTTCAAAGCATAAACATGTCAGTGAATACACACTGGGGTGGTAGTCAGCATGCTGAGACCTGGCCCTGGTCCCACAGCCACCTGGCTAGTACTGGGTAAGTCCATTCCCCTCTCTGGGCCTTTAGTTGTGGGAACTAAAATAAGCAACATTTAAGGTCCTTCCAGCTGTCACTCTGCAATACTTTATAATTAAATTAGGAAGGAGAGAGGATGGAAGAATTCTAAGTCACTTAATAGACCCAAATTTATATATGTACATACCCTATGTATTTCTAGAATATGATGGTATAAACTAAAAGAATGCAAATGAGAATGCTCTAAGGTGAGTATGCTATGAGATATATACATAAAGTCAGCTTTTTAAACAGAAAAATCTGTCAAGATACATTAAGTAAAGACAGCTACATTCATGGCTGGGTGCGGTAGCTCATGCCTTTAATTCCAGTACTCTGGGAGGCCGAGGCAGGTGAATGGCTCAAAGTCAGGAGTTTGGGACCAGCCTAAGCTGGAGTGAAACCCCACCTCTAAAACTAGCCAGGTGTTGTGGCAGATGCCTGTAGTCCCAGCTACTCAGGAGGGTGAGGCAAGAGGATCACTTGAGCCCAAGAGTTTGAGGTTGCTGAGCTATGATGCCATAGCATTCTACCCAAGGTGACAAAAAATAAAAAAGAAAGAAAGAAAAAAGAAAAAAAGCCTCATTCATAGAACTCACACTCCTTGGGGCATCTTAATAAATCCATACTGTGTAAGGTAGAAAAGGATGTTAGATTATAATAAACCTATTCCTGGGTTCGGTGCCTGTAGCTCATGCTTAGGGCACCAGCCACATACACCGGGGCTGGCGGGTTTGAACCTGGGCGGGGCTTGCTAAACAATAATGATAATGGCAACAACAACAATAAAATAGATGGTGTTGTGGCGAGCACCTGTAGTCCCAGCTAGTTGGGAGGCTGAGGCAAGAGAATTGCTTAAGCACAAGAGTTTGAGGTTGCTGTGAGCTGTGATGTCACAGCACTCTACTGAGGGTGACATAGTGAGATTGTTTAAAAAAAACAAAAAATAAAACCTATTCCCGAGTGCCAGGTGCTCACTAACTCCTTACAACCTCTGAAACAAGTCACACTCCTTTCCACTGTGCCCAGGAGGAAATTGCCCAGGTCATGTCATTAGTAAATAGCTAAGAGGGGAACTTAATCACTTCTAATGGAGGTCTGTATAAAAAAGGCTAAGGGCAAAGCACAGTGTAACAGCACATAGTCCACTAACCACCTGCTGCCTGTCAACATCACTACTGTAAATACCGGTACAGGAAGGAAGGGATGCAGAAATTCCGCGGGCAGAACCTAATACACGTAGTGTCAATTCACACAGAGGTCTAGAAGGAAACGTGATGTGACAGTACTGGGTACAGTGGGGAAGAAGGGACAGGAGGACCGTGGTGGTCAAAGCAGGCTTTAGCCTCATTTGTATGCTTAAATTTTTCACAAAGATAATGTAGTAATGTATTATTATCTATGTAATTACAAACTAATAAAGGTAAGCCTACACCATTTGTATAATTAGAAAAACAATTTAGGCTGCACTACAAGAAGCCTAGTGCCCAGGAGCAAAGGAATGGTCTCCTAGAGCCTCAACCAGAAGCCCTCTGGCTGTGGCTCAGTTTCCCTCCTACCTTAATAAAATGCAGCATGGTGAAGGAGAAGTGCTCATTGCAGAAGCAGCAGTACACCACCATCTCCATGAGTGCCAGGAGGGAGCCGGTCAGCTCCCGCAGAGCAAACATCACCTGGGGAGAGGGCAAGACAGGGCTCAGCGCTTCTCCCGGCACAGCTGACAAGGCATCTGCTGCTCCAGACTAAGCGACATCTACTCAGACTTCAGACCATCAACACTGAATCAAAACAAGGTTTCACAGGAAGTCTACGGGTACATTTCAAGCTGTCTGAACCGGCTGGAAATTTCATACATTTTTGTGTAAATGTGCACTTTTGTTTGGTAAAGAGTGGCTTCCATTGGATTTTCAAAGGCAAATGCTGTCTCCCCAAATTAAAACAATCAGATAGATTTAAAAATAATGTTAAGCTAAAAAAAAAAAAAGGAGGAAAAGATATACAGCAAAGCACCGTTGATGTGACTGAAAAACTAGAATGTCCATGTTCAGACAGTCACATGTGGAAGAAGGGCTGGAAGATTAAGTCCACAAGAGGGGAGGCTCTGGGCGGAAAAGGACGCTCGGACGGGGGCTGAGCCACAAACACGAGCCTTGGGGAAGAGCCGGGAGAGCTTGCTTTCAAACTCCTGAGATTCAGAGCTGTAGCATTCCAGAACCAGAGATAACATAAATCAGATAGTGGACAGAACCCTCTCTACCAAACTGAGTGACAGTGGACAGAACCCTCTCTACCAAACTGAGTGACAGTGGACAGAACCCTCTCTACCAAACT